TGTCACGTGATAAATTTAGCCGAGGGTCGGAAGTCGGAAGTCGGAAGTCAGTGGACTCTGTTGGAGTCTGGCGGACTCCGAGCGGAGTCCAAGCTCCGCCGGACTCCGCCGGATTCAAGTCCGGCGGAGAGGTCCGCCAAGCACTCCGCCGGAGTCCGCGGCGGACCGGAGTCCGCCTAGTGGCTTAGTCCGCGGCGGACACTCCGCCGAGCCGCCGCGGAGCCGCTCGGAGTCCGCGGCGGACTTTAAAGTCCGCTCGGAGTCCGCTTGGCTCCGCTCGGAGTCCGCCAAAATGTACTCGAGTCCAGTGTAAATACATTTTGGCGGAGCACCGCCGGACTCCGCTCGGAGTCCGGCGGCTCCGCCGCGGACTCTACTCCGCGACGGATAGTGCCAAAATTTCTGATCACACATTTGACAGATTGGACGAAACTTTTGCCCAGAAACAAATTAAATTGGAAAGTCATAATGTCCCATACTCTGTCCCATTTTCAGTTTTTGAACTATAGATCAAGATGACAAATGACAAGATTGAGGTGCTGGAAGTTTGATTTGAATCGGAGGAAGCTCACAGCAGAAAGTTTAACAAAAGGAAATGTTGTATTTTCAAAAGTCTGTCCCATTTTTAGATATGTAAATTTCTGATCACACATTTGACATATTGTATGAAATTTTTGCCCAGAAACAAATTAAATAGTTAATTGATGATGGTATGAAACCAAATTAGGGTACTGGTAGTCAAATTCTCGAAATAAATGGAAAATCATACTGTCCCATACTCTGTCCCATTTTCAGTTTTTGAAGCTGAAATTTCATGGGCCGAAATTTTACAGTTTTTACCGAATTTCTATAGATGGCAAATGATACGATTGAGGTGCTGAAAGTTTGATTTGGATCGGAGGAAGCTCACAGCAGAAAATTTAACAAAAGGAAAACTTGTATTTTAAAAGTCTGTCCCATTTTCAGATATGAAAATTTCTGATCACACATTTGACAGATTGGATAAAATTTTGCCCAGAAACCAATAAGTCAGTTAATTGATGATGGTATGAAACCAAATTTGGGCGCTGTAAGTCAAATTCTCGAAAAAATTGGAAAATCATAATGTCCCATATCTGTCCCATTTTCAGTTATTGAAGCTGAAATTTCATGGGCCGAAATTTTACAGTTTGGACCGAATTTCTGACCCACAACCAATTAGTCAGTCAATTATAGATGGTAAATGACAAGATTGAGGTGCTGAAAGTTTGATTTGGATCGGAGGAAGCTCACAGCAGAAAGTTTTACAAAAGGAAAAGTTGTATTTTCAAAAGTCTGTCCCATTTTCTGATATGAAAATTTCTGATCACACATTTGACAGATTGGATGACATTTTTGCCCAAAAACCAATTAGTCAGTTAATTGATAATAGTATGAAACCAAATTGGGGTACTGGAAGAAAAATTTTCGAAAAAATTGGAAAATCATACTGTCCCATATTTTGTCCCATTTTCAGTTATTGAAGCTTAAATTTCATGGGCCGAAATTTTACAGTTTTGACCGAATTTCTGACCCGCAACCAATTAGTCAGTCAACTATAGATGGCAAATGACAAGTTTGAAATGTTAAAAGTTTGATTAGGGTCGGAGATAGCTCTCAGCAGAAAATTTAACAAAAGAAAAAGTTGAATTTTCAAAAGTCTGTCCCATTTTCAGATATGAAAAATTCCGATCACACATTTGACAGATTGGATGAAATGTTTGCCCAGAAACCAATTAGACAGTTTATTGATAATGGTATGAAACCAAATTGGGATACGGGAAGTCAAATTATCGAAAAAAAAAGGAAAGTCATACTGTCCCATACTCTGTCCCATTTTCAGTTTTTGAAGCTGAAATTTCATGGGCCGAAATTTTACAGTTTTGACCAAATTTCTGACCCACAACCAATTAGTTAGTCTATTATAAATGGCAAATGACACGATTGAGTTGCTGGAAGTTTGATTTGGATCGGAAGAAGCTCACAGCAAAAAGTTTAACAAAAGGAAAAGTTGTATTTTCAAAAGTCTGTCCCATTTTTAGATATGTAAATTTCTGATCACACATTTGACATATTGTATGAAATTTTTGCCCAGAAACAAATTAAATAGTTAATTGATGATGGTATGAACCAAATTAGGGGGTACTGGAAGTCAAATTCTCGAAAAAATTGGAAAATCATACTGTCCCATACTCTGTCCCATTTTCAGTTTTTGAAGCTGAAATTTCATGGGCCGAAATTTTACAGTTTTGACCGAATTTCTGACCCACAACCAATTAGTCAGTCAACTATAGATGGCAAATGATACGATTGAGGTGCTGAAAGTTTGATTTGGATCGGAGGAAGCTCACAGCAGAAAATTTAACAAAAGGAAAACTTGTATTTTAAAATTCTGTCCCATTTTCAGATATGAAAATTTCTGATCACACATTTGACAGATTGGATAAAATTTTGCCCAGAAACCAATAAGTCAGTTAATTGATGATGGTATGAAACCAAATTGGGGCGCTGTAAGTCAAATTCTCGAAAAAAATGGAAAATCATAATGTCCCATATCTGTCCCATTTTCAGTTATTGAAGCTGAAATTTCATGGGCCGAAATTTTACAGTTTGGACCGAATTTCTGACCCACAACCAATTAGTCAGTCAATTATAGATGGTAAATGACAAGATTGAGGTGCTGAAAGTTTGATTTGGATCGGAGGAAGCTCACAGCAGAAAGTTTTACAAAAGGAAAAGTTGTATTTTCAAAAGTCTGTCCCATTTTCAGATATGAAAATTTCTGATCACACATTTGACAGATTGGATGAAATTTTTGCCCAGAAACCAATTAGTCAGTTAATTGATAATAGTATGAAACCAAATTGGGGTACTGGAAGTAAATTTTTCGAAAAAAAAAGGAAAGTCATACTGTCCCATACTCTGTCCCATTTTCAGTTTTTGAAGCTGAAATTTCATGGGCAGAAATTTTACAGTTTTGACCGAATTTCTGACCCACAACCAATTAGTCAGTCAACTATAGATGGCAAATGACATGATTGAGGTGCTGAAAGTTTGATTTGGATCGGAGGAAGCTCACAGCAGAAAGTTTAACAAAAGGAAAAGTTGTATTTTCAAAAGTCTGTCCCATTTTCTGATATGAAAATTTCTGATCACACATTTGACAGATTGGATGAAATTTTTGCCCAGAAACCAATTAGACAGTTTATTGATAATGGTATTAAACCAAATTGGGATACGGGAAGTCAAATTATCGGGAAAAAAAGGAAAGTCATACTGTCCCATACTCTGTCCCATTTTCAGTTTTTGAAGCTGAAATTTCATGGGCCGAAATTTTACAGTTTGGACCGAATTTCTGACCCACAACCAATTAGTTAGTCAACTATAGTTACACTCATCCTCCATTGCTAATCATGTCTCTCTCTGTCTGTCTGTCTGTCTGTCTGTCTGTCTGTCTGTCTGTCTCTCTCTGTCTCTGTCTGTCTCTGTCTGTCTGTCTCTGTCTCTGTCTCTTTGTCTCTGTCTCTTTGTCTCTCTCTCTCTGCCTCTCTGTCTCTCTCTCTCTGTCTCTCTGTCTCTGTCTCTGTCTCTGTCTCTGTCTCTGTCTCTGTCTCTGTCTCTGTCTCTCTGTCTCTCTGTCTCTCTGTCTCTCTGTCTCTCTGTCTCTCTGTCTCTCTGTCTCTCTGTCTCTCTGTCTCTCTGTCTCTCTGTCTCTCTGTCTCTCTGTCTCTCTGTCTCTCTGTCTCTCTGTCTCTCTGTCTCTCTGTCTCTCTGTCTCTCTGTCTCTCTGTCTCTCTGTCTCTCTGTCTCTCTGTCTCTCTGTCTCTCTCTGTCTCTCTCTGTCTCTCTCTGTCTCTCTCTGTCTCTCTCTGTCTCTCTCTGTCTCTCTGTCTCTCTGTCTCTCTGTCTCTCTGTCTCTCTGTCTCTCTGTCTCGCTGTCTCGCTGTCTCTCTGTCTCTCTGTCTCTCTGTCTCTCTGTCTCTCTGTCTCTCTGTCTCTCTCTGTCTCTGTCTCTCTCTCTGTCTCTCTCTCTGTCTCTCTCTCTGTCTCTCTCTCTGTCTCTCTCTCTCTCTCTCTCTCTCTCTCTCTCTCTCTCTCTCTCTCTCTCTCTCTCTCTCTCTCTCTCTCTCTCTCTCTCTCTCTCTCTCTCTCTCTCTCTCTCTCTCTCTCTCTCTCTCTCTCTCTCTCTCTCTCTCTCTCTCTCTCTCTCTCAGGATTAATACACTCATCTTCCATTGCTAATCATGTAAGCGCGTTGACAGCACGTTGAGTTAGCTGCAGAATCGACCAACAGTAAAATTTCTGACCCACAGCCAATTAGTCAATCAACTATAAATGGCAAATGACACGATTGAGGTGCTGGAAGTTTGATTTGGATCGGATGTAGTTCAAAGCAGAAAGTTTAACAAAAGGAAAAGTTGTATTTTCAAAAGTCTGTCCCAATCCCATTTTCTGATAATGAAAATTTCTGATCACACATTTGACAGATTGGATGAATTTTTTGCCCAAAAACCAATTAGTCAGACTGTTAATTGATGATGGTATGAAACCAAATTGGGGTACTGGAAGTAAAATTCTCGAAAAAATTGGAAAATCATACTGTCCCATACTCTGTCCCATTTTTAGTTTTTGAAGCTGAAATTTCATGCACCAATTCAACTTCAGACACCAGCCTAAGGGGCTGCGATATGTTTTTCAATACACAAGACTGGTTTTTGCATAGAGTCACCAGTCCACTGTCCAGTCCTACATTTCTTGCATATCCGTGAAAGAACCGAGCAGTAAACTAGCATGAAGCTAGGTAAGAAAAAAAAAACTGCATTTCAACTATAATAAGGCCAAGGGGATGATCCTTATAATGTGGCCTGACTTTTAAATCTGTTTTTCATTTGGACAATTATATGTCTCGGATAAAAACCAAATTGCCATTTAATGCAGTAATACTGCAATTACGTCCAGTCTGTGCATACAAGGAAAACAAGTTCTAGAGCTAAAATGTTTTGGAGAAATAATAACAGCAAAACGAGTCTTTGCATTTCAGTCAAATTCAAATATTTCTATCTGTAACAAAAGAAGAACACGATATAATGATATACAATTTTATTGAGAAATTAGCTGTAAACTTTAAAGGTTCTAGAAAAATCTAGTATTCCTCTTCATCGTCTTCTCCTTCGTTATCAACAGAGTCCACACCGACCTCCTCGTAGTCCTTCTCCAGAGCAGCCAAATCCTCCCTGGCCTCCGAGAACTCACCCTCCTCCATACCCTCTCCTACATACCTGAAACCAGCATTAGGTTAATAATCAATAATTTGATCCTTTATTCTCACTTCATATCCCCTCAAGTCGTATCGATTACTTTTCAGTTGGTAACGGGTCACGGGGTCAGGGCACTAGGAGTGCAGGAATGAATGTTGGATTGCAATTGGATGCAATCTAATATCTGTAATATCACAGCACATATGAGGGTTAATTATAAGGACTCGGAGTGAGAAACGTCATACTTCTTTTCATGATCACATTGAAACAGTTTATGCCATATTTGGTTGCAGAGCTGTAGTGTTGTGATGGCAGCCTTTAAAATTGTGGCCAAGAGGTAATAACAGTGCAAGAACTTCAGACGCAATATTTCAATCATGTTAAACAGTATAGTGACTATCAGCTAGGGGAACTGTTACAACAGTCTTACAAATACAAGGTACAAGATGAGTAGAGAGACACTGACCAGTGGACGAAGGCTCTCTTGGCGTACATAAGATCGAATTTGTGATCCAGACGAGCCCAGGCCTCAGCAATGGCGGTGGTGTTAGACAACATGCACACAGCTCTCTGGACCTTGGCTAGGTCACCTCCAGGAACAACAGTTGGTGGTTGGTAGTTGATGCCAACTTTGAACCCGGTGGGGCACCAGTCGACGAACTGGATGGTTCTCTTGGTCTTGATGGTGGCGATAGCAGCGTTAACATCTTTGGGAACAACGTCGCCTCTGTACAGGAGACAGCAAGCCATGTACTTGCCGTGTCGGGGGTCACATTTCACCATCTGAAAGATTGGTTCTGTTTAATATCTATAATAGAGATGGGAAGGCCAGCCTGACCATCTATTGTCGTTATTCGTATATTTAGGGTTCTGAATTTGCAGCAAACTGTACCGTTACTGTTAGCAACCCGTGTTTAGCAATTAGCCCAGCCATTCCACGTTAGTAGTCTAACGTGGGATGAGTTAGCCCAGCTGTATATTTGTTAGGCTGTTGCCATGGTAAACATCAGTTATACTCTTGGGCCAATCGATTATTTGCCGGTCGTATCCATAGCAACCGCAATATACATTGCTGAGCTGAAATTGAATCAGCTAAGTATCAAGTGTGACACACAATTAGCAGAATCTAACCACGTGGCAAAAATCACATGATCAGGTCCCCAACATGCAACCTCGTGATATTCTCAGTCATGTGACAGTGCACGTGCGGTCATGTGACTGTGCAACTGCACGTGCGGTTCCTGGACATGTCACGTGGGGATGTGACACCCTCATTAGTCGTGTATAAGGTGGCGCCATATCCCAGATCATGATTCTATAAATGTGACTGTGGGATAGAGGGGTTATTTTGAGTATTGTGTATGAGATTGTGTATAAGATTAAGAGCGTAAGTGATTTGCCAAGCAGGCCGACAGATTTAATAAGTAGTTTGTCAAGCAGAGAATTAGAAATTTATGACATCAAAATTAAATTCCAGGTCTTAAGAGTGAGAGAAAATATTGGTTTTCCAGTTCTACACTTCTCTAATTTGTAATCAACAAATGTTAATAATACAGAAATGAAGAGAGATTGTATAAAACCCGTTTTATCATCGGCCCGAAATAATTAGGTATAATTACATACTAACGATGTTCTGATATCCTTAATTTATGTCTTAAGACTCAGAAAATGTATCATGTGCGTTTCTTCAGGGTTCTCCCTACTAAGATTTCAAATTTCAACCCAATTGCCAACACTTCGAGCACTAATTTCCAATTTAGCTGATAAGCGGATGAGGTCTACTGGTTAGTATGAGTACCTTCTTACTATATACGGCTTATAATGTTTAATCTGAACGAGTAACCAACAAACGTAATCAGTTAAAAGAAGAGAAACTGGTAAACACTGACCTGGTTGGCGGGCTCAAAGCAGGCATTGGTAATCTCTGCAACAGAGAGCTGCTCGTGGTAAGCCTTCTCAGCAGAGATAACTGGAGCGTACGTAGCAAGAGGGAAGTGAATCCTGGGGTAGGGTACCAAGTTAGTCTGGAACTCAGTCAGATCAACGTTCAGAGCACCGTCAAATCGGAGTGAAGCTGTGATGGAGGAGACAATCTGTGCCATCAGTCTGTTCAAGTTGGTGTACGTTGGTCTCTCTATGTCAAGGTTTCGTCGGCAGATGTCATACACGGCTTCGTTGTCGACCATGAAGGCACAATCGGAGTGTTCCAGGGTAGTGTGAGTTGTCAGGATAGAGTTGTAGGGCTCTACCACAGCAGTTGAGATCTGAGGATATACAACTTATTAAAAATGAGGAGCATAATAACGATGAAGTTGCAAGACAACAACCGTGCGAAGAATTGTGTAAAATCAAAACCAAGATGACTGAGACTGGTGAGGTTTATAATATACCTGAGGGGCAGGGTAGATGGCGAATTCCAGTTTGCTCTTCTTGCCGTAGTCCACACTCAGTCTCTCCAGGAGAAGAGAGGTGAACCCAGATCCAGTACCTCCACCGAAGGAGTGGAAGACGAGGAATCCTTGCAGACCGGTACACTGATCAGCCAGTTTCCTGAGTCTGTCAAGACAGAGATCAACAATCTCTTTCCCGACGGTGTAGTGACCTCGAGCGTAGTTGTTGGCAGCATCTTCCTGTAGTAGTTGTGTTACTAGCAACTTGTGAGCTTAAAGGTAAAATGACAATCAACTGTGAGCTACATTGATAAGTTGTTGTACAATCCTGTACATTTTATTTGTGTATTAGTCCGCTAAAAATATGGGTACTGTCGTCTGTCGCAAACCTTTCCAGTGATGAGCTGCTCTGGATGGAAGAGCTGTCTGTAGGTTCCAGTCCTCACTTCGTCAACAACAGTTGGCTCCAAGTCAAGGAACACAGCCCGAGGAACGTGTTTCCCGGCTCCAGTCTCGCTGAAGAACGTATTGAAGGAGTCATCACCACCTCCGATAGTCTTGTCAGAAGGCATCTGGCCATCAGGTTGGATACCATGCTCCAGACAATAGAGTTCCCAACAGGCATTTCCAATCTGCACACCGGCTTGACCAAGATGAATAGAGATACACTCACGCTGAAAGTAAAAAGCTTTGAATATGGGCATGCATACTGATTGCTGGCGTTCAAACGGAACTACTGTAGTAATGTAACTATTTGCAGGTACACAGAATAATATTTAACAACTTAAACGAAACATGAGTATAAAGTTTACTTGTCTTACCATGTTTAGGCTGAATAAATCGTTAAAACTAAGACTCAGTAAGAGTAACGGGGAACCTCCGAGAAAAGAATTTTATAATGAGCCTGATGTACATTAGCTGTCATTATATAGGTTTGCGTTGGCAACGGTTGCCGTAACCATGGAGTGTATTGCTGTCCGTACATTGGTCGAAGTTAAGGCCACTTGACAAGATAATGCGCTCTCATTGGTTAATATAAAGTGCAGGTTAGCCCACGTGACTGCGCGTGTGATCACGTGACTGCGCGCGTGATCTATTGGTAACGCGGACCAGGTTAGCAGCAATCTGATTATACATGACGCAACAGATTCTTAGCGGGGTCTCTCCATTGTAATTAAGGAGTTTCCTCCAGATAATAAGCAAACCGATTAAGCTTGGACCTTGAAACTGAGTATGCTTCAGTCTATGGCCGAGAGGTGCTCTGCGGTAAAAAATGAGCCCGATCTGAAGATAGCTTTTTAAGATCGTGTTTGAATGTCGTTAATGAACATTTTGTTTGTTATTTCTTGCTATTCCGTAATATTAATCGAAATTAGTTATTGATTAACTGATCATTCTCAAAAGCATGATACTGATAGAACTACCACATGATTTCCCCTTCCTCTCGTCATTAAAATGTCCTGCTATACCCTTCAGGGTACCAGATGTTTGCGTTGCAGATTGGTGGATTCAGCTCCCAGTCCCCCACAGCCGAGGAAACATATGACAAGTATGGAGAGTCCACTAATTGTGCGGATGATGGAGAAGGGGGAGGATAGCTAACCAAGTCTATAAAATACAATTTGATGGTGAGTTTATTATAATCCATACCTCTCCTTTTCATCCACCAAACTTTACCTCATTTTACGTTTAATCTCAACGTTTGGTAATGCTACGATCAGGGATTGACCATTTTATCCTGGACCCGGCAAATGATTGACAAGAATCTAGCTCAATCCCCTGAAAGATGGCGCCAATCTTGGTCGACCCCAGGTTTCGCTACTTGAATGTAAAAAGATCTGAACCAATTTATAAATTTTCTGAGGTTAACATATTATTGAAATTGTTAGGTCCGAAAAGCACGGAGTGTCTTGATGAGGATGACCTAACAGGTTACAGAGGCCAAGTGTTAGTGACCAGGTCTGGTCGGGAATGTCAGAGATGGGACTCTCAATGTCCTAACGAACACACAATGACTAATGAGAAGTAAGAATATATTCCATGATGTGTATGAAGTGTGTTATGAAGTGTGTTATGATTTATGCAGATGAATATAACTCTTTTAGTACTGTTCCATCTTGTAGGACTCTTATATAACAAGATGGAATACTAAAAGAGTTCCCGGAGAACTTAGAGTAAATTTTACTAAGAAAGTTAGACAGTTAAAAACTAAATTCATTACTTTTAGTACTGTGTTTCACAGTTTCCGAGGATTAATTGCATCAATACTTGTAGTTATCCGTCCGCGGGACTTTCCGGGAGCTTTTGCAGAAATCCTGAAAAGTATAAGTCCTCTCAGTTCGTCAAAACATTTAATTCATCAAGCATGATGATTTGTTATTTGATGATGGTAACCAGGCGACGGGGGCCACCTGGTCACTTAGTGTAACAAAACTAGCCACGTAGCATGCGAATTAGTCCCCAGGTTGAAGTTAACGAGGGAGAATGTTGGTGCATTAAATAAGGGTGTGTTGGGAGCTTCAAATTCACTATTAAATCACTAATTATACTAATTGCATACTAATAGCACTAAAAGTAATAAAGTAGATCGGTCGGTAATGGTCTCCTCAGCTCGCCAGGAGTTTGGTGTTTCAACAGCTATGGCACGGTACCTCAGCGGGAGTACTGTGATCTGCCTAGATGCTCTGATGCAGGTAAAGTTAGCTGTCTTTCTTCTGAAACCAGAGTGCCTGGTGACTACAGTCGTTCGAAATAGAAATAAAACTTTCCGATTGGTCAAAAATCAAAATAGAAAGGAATTATTGATAAAATTATCGATTTTTCTCAAAAAGCCCTCATTTAAAGACGCTTTACCATTTAACATGTTTATTGTTTAAGGTACTATATCAAAAGCTTTTCAGCTCAACGTAATCCAATTCCAGGGAATGTTGTGATACTGAAAGCAAACTGTGCCGACAAAATGACGGTTTATGTTGACGGATATTTGCAATACGCCGCTAATCTGGATACTTGGAACATTGAGTCCACAGTCGTGATACCCAACGGTTTTAAAGTCATAGCGATAAAATGTGACAATATATTAGAGGAGATTCAGGGTTGATAACATCTGTGGAAAATCATCTTGGAGAGCGGGTCCTCCTCTCTGATACCACATGGAAATGTTCTAGAGTATTTGAAGAGGGATGGCAACGGGAATACTATGAATCTTCCTCAGAAAACTGGTAAATCGCAACAAACATAGGAAAAAATCGTGGACAGATAAGCCCACTTGCTAGTTGGATCTGGACTGAAGATAAAGTGGACACCATCTACTGCCGGGGAGGATGGCCCTGGACCAGAGGTAGTCATTACGGTCTTTGAAGGAAATTAATTAATTGTTTTGTCAATGGTCAATGGTATTGGTACTACTATAGGTATATTGAATTCGTAAAGTGTAAAGGCCGAACAAGAAATGCTATTGTATTTATCAATTTATTTGATTTATAATGTCCAATTTTCAGCTATATGTCCACCCTTACAATTGGGTCATGGATCAGTTCAACCTGGTGGGCCCATACCTGCTGGAATAACAGTAACCTTCTCCTGCGATGTCGGCTACAAGTTGACCACCCTCTACCTTGCTACATGTCTTGACTCCTCAACCTACGACGTAGAAAATCAGGTGTGTTTTCCTATCACAGTAGGTGAGTTAATTGGTAGTTATAGAATTTAATGGAATTCATGTCCAGTGACCAATTACTAATTAGTGAGTTCACTGTGGATGTCACAAGACACAATTGAGGTATTGAAAGTTAGAATGCTGGAAAAATCTTAATTAGCTGTGGAAAAATTCACTTTGAAATGACCAAATTCGGCCCAGAATATAGGTTAATTTCATAATTTATGGAACCATAAGTCTGCCTTTTATCTCCTGAAAGTATAACACAATTATTGCAGAGCGAAAGGAGATGTTTAGCGACTTTGCTGATGATGGGACGAACATGTACACCAACATTAGTATGGACTTTTCTTCTTTCTTTTTTCTTTTTTTCTCAATACAAGGCCATATTCACGGGAGATTACGATAAAGGATGTGGAATGACATTTGATATCATCGATACTGATGTCATGTACCATCTTGACTTCTGATTTAACTATGAAGGTGCTTATAGAATACTTATCCAATCGTCCAGATGGAATGGACAGTGGGGCTACAGATACCCACCGCTGAGATCGAGCTTACCAGATTTGGCCTTAAAGGACCAGTTAACTGAAAAAAAAGTTATCCTCATATTTTGACAGATTGTGACAAATAGCAAACTAAGCAACGAGTCGAAATTCCTAAATCTCTAACTGCTCTCTAACGCGTGTAATTAGCGTTTGTATTATTTTGGCGATGACGTCATGAAGTCCCTTGCGCGCACAGAGTAGCTCGTGAGACTGTATTTTACAGGTAGAAAATGGACATAATACAATGTTTCTCCCCCAAATAACTCGAAAAGTAAGTATTTTAGGATACATGTTGCTTCATAAGTTGTATATAAACATGGCCATTGTGCACAATTTGCACTCATCCAAAAATCTGTAGGGCCTTCATAGCCCAATTTACGAGATGCCCATATTTTAGCATGATTTCTGGAACCGAAAATCAGTTTTTCGCCAATAACTGAAAAAGTAAGCACTTTAAGGCATATGTTTGTTCGTAAGTCATATATTAATATGCTAATTGCGGTTCTTTTGCACCCTGTCTAAAGACTCTATCACGATCCTATCGAAAATGGGCTCAGCACCACGCCCAAAATGGTTTTTGGCAAATTTCTCGAAAAGTAAGGATTTTAGGCCATGTGTTGCTCAGTAACTCCTATATAAACATGCATATGCCACTTCGTTTAAGCCTATTTAGAAGTCTCTACAACCTTCAGAAGCATGGGGTCGGTTACGTAATTGGGTCAATATGGGCGTGGTCCGCCTGGGTTTTCTCCACGGTCAAAAAATGTCTCCAAACGAAAATCGTTTATTCATACCTTCAGGAAGGTCTGTGCAAAGTTTCGTGAGTATTTTAACATTTGCAGGTTCATTTCCATAAATGTCCATAAATGACTGGACTACACAACTTTAGAGTTAACTTAAGAGAAACTCATATGTCATTTATCTCAAATTAAGCTGTTAGTGTCCATAATCAACCTGTGGCGACAATGTTTTACGTGAAATGTAAAAATCAGGAGTAATATAAAAAGTGTATTTTTAGATTAAAGTGCTAGCTCATAGTTTTAGAATTGTATAGATTAACGTTGGTAGTTTAGCCATCTAACAATCGATCGTGCCGTAATATATGGCCAGAGAATATTAGGGTCTTGGAAATTCTATAGTTGTTCAGTGGGTCGATTGACTGAACACGTTTGCACTTGGTATTTAAACTTACCAGTAGTTTATTTATGTTATGTACCGATGATAATGCAATTAGGATAACAACTAGGTAAGCCGTAAGTCTAATTCAAAACACACCGCACACCGTACACACCAATCAGTGTTACTATTTGGTAGACCGGGTATTTTGGCGGGAATTCTGTTCCCACGGCACTGTTCTGATAGAAGCTACTTCTACTAATGCAAATGGTCCCAGAGGAACGGCCGTAAAGTAGCCAGACTTCTTGTCTCCTGTACTGGCTGACACATGCGGATTAAAGTTAGAAATTTCGCTATTATATAAGTATAATTGCTCTCGGAATTGAACAAACTCCTACTTATCTAGATCCTTTCTAAATTCGTTAGAGTTTCATGGACTGGGGAAAAATAATCGGTACAGTCTCCCTGCTTGTGTAATTAAGCAATGAAAACAATCCAAAATTATCACATTATATGACATAAGTTGTAATAGCAGAAACTTTCTAACCGTACATTCACCCGCCACTGTTCAAGAAATTATGTCACTGTTTAAAATCATGACGTGAGCACTGTACATCCAATCAGCTATTCCTTTAGTTAGGATGATAGCCAAAACTATAAGGATTTTGGAGAACTAGGGTAATAGTCAC